ATTTGATTACTGAGCTTCAGTAGCTTGCGTTTTTTGAGAATTGTAGTTGAGTGAGAGAAGAGAAATCTCTTTCTGTTGAGGAAGGAGAAAATTACGCATCAATGAGATCTTCTTCAGTTTCAAAATTCGAATAAAATCGTTGACAGAATCACATCAGATCTGGTGCCTTCATTTTAGGGTTTTTTTTATGACAAAATCTACCTATTTTTGGATGGGTATATAATTTATAGTAAAAGTGTGGACTACATGGGTAAATAACAAATTATGAACATTTTTTGTAATAAGATTTGATATATGGTATAGATAGGCAAAAAATCCCGAACGAATAGCCGCTGCAAGCCTTTGTCCACAAAAGTTCAAATGAAGGAAACCAACAAATTAGCCCAACTATGAAAAACTTGGTCCAGTCCAACATGTCACAAGCAAGCGCAAAATGAACAGTTTCCTTGGGACCAAAATCAATCGAGAATGTACATTTTTAGACTACATAGTAAGTGACAAAATATATATTTTTTGTATATATACGTATTATATACATATAATGCACATATTTTATAGGCTTTTTGGATAGAAAATACAATTAATTTCGATCGATCGGTCAATTTTGTATTTAGCCCAAATCAAATGGGAGGTCTAATTGTCCTATTTTCAATATATGAGCAAAATTGGCTCTTTTCCCTTCCATTTTTAATATTTTTCTTGGGTTTTGGGTGGAGGGCTAGTAGGGCTTATAATTACTTTGTGGTGTGTGAGTTATTTATTTTAATTTTTCTTTCATGGTGAATGATTTGTGATTTGTGAATGGTGCGAGATAATTGTTTGCAATAAATTTTCTTAAAGTAGAAAATTAAATGCAATCACAATATAAATATGAATAAACATAATTTTATTGATAAACAATTGTGGGACAATTTTATTTTTTTCCTTGATTTTTTTCTCCTAATTATCTCCGTGATTCGAGGGCTAAAACATCGTGTTTCTCGAACGTAGTATGATGCAAACCTTCTTGGGATGTATTTGATTTCCATGAAATTATGTTTATTCGGCCGCATTTTGATCTCTTTGTGAATATCCCATGAGTTTATGGTTTCGAGATGATTAGATCTTTTTTAAAGGAATATGTAATCTTTTTTATAGGAGTGACTAGGGTTAGGGTAGAGTAACCTCCAATGCTGAGTTTTGGTAAAGTAGCCTCCAAGCAACACTGACAAACTCCTAGAATTTCAAGAGTTGTCTTGTAGTATCTTAAATTTAGGATTTAGCTTGATCCGTTACAATTTCAATGTCAACAATAATAAATTGAAAAAATATAATTCCGGTAGTCTGCTTTCTTCCATTATGATATCTTTAACTATGCAGGACAACAAAATTAGTCTTATTACCCCCTGAACTGTTTTAAAATGGTATTTCATTCGATCCAATTTATGTGAACCTATTAAATTGGGCATAAAATTTAAAGAAGAAATAAAGATTTTTTAAATTTGTAGTCCTAAACAAATTATAATATTTGTGTGGATATAATTCTTTTGAAATTTTTGATATTAATCATGACAGAGTATTTGTTTGACTATGCTTCTCATTGAGGGTTTAGAAGGTTAAGTTAAATTATTAAAAAAAATTATTTTTTTGGATCGAACCAAAAAAAAATAGGTTCACATGGACCAAATATTACAAGTTAGATATGCTCTTTGTTAAGTACCAAAAATTTTACAAGTCATGCATGGTTGTCTTGATGGGGACCTTCACCTAGAAACACAGTAGTAACTGACGAAACTCTAAAGTTGGCATGCTTATCCTCCTAATAATTGCTGCTATTGTCTTTGAATTTTGAAGAGGTGAAGATTACAACGTAATTGGCACATCATTTTTCGTAGTGGTACCAAGTACAAATATGTTGTGAAACAAAGAGGTCATCACTGTTTTATGGGTATATGCAAGTGGGTGAAAAAGTTGTCCCTTGACTTTCTTAAGTACCTTATTAACATTAACCAAAAAGAAAAAACGGGTTGGTTCCCTGTAAATTTAATACTACAGTACAACTCATATAAAGGGAGTAGTTAAGGCGTTTGTGGTTGGACAACAGTATACTTGTGAAATACATCATTGCTTACAGCCATGGCAAAATTAAGCTTTTGACATATCAATAATAAATGTTAATAAGACCTTTTTTGGTTTTTGGCCAAGTCACAAAATTAACATTCTTGGGTATAATGTTGGATTAACAATTAAACTAGTGCGCATGTCTGCGTGGAGGTAGAAGACCCACGGGTTGTGAACTTCTTTTTCTAGATATGAAGAAGCAACAACGGTATATGGGGAAGAAGCATCGGCTAACTCTGTGCTAGCAGCCGCAGAATTACAGAGGATGCAAACATTATCCAGAATATTGATTGGACGCTTTGTGTCGAACCTTGAATGAAGGAAGTACATGTTATGGTCTCCGATGTCACTACTAAAAAAATGGGGAAAATCGACCGCCAAAACTGACTGATATTCGTCGGTAAAATGCAAAAATCGATTGAAAACTGATCGATTCATGGCGGTCGGTAATCGTAATGTCGGTAGAGCTAACCGACCGACTTTGGTCGATATTTTCCAACTGATTTCGGTCGGTCAATTAAATTTAAAAAAAATTGTTGAATTTGGTCGGTTTTTTCGACCAAGGTCGGTCGGTATTCTAATTATGTAATTAAAAAATGCACAATTTGGGAATTGAACCGGGGCCTGTACTGTGGCAGGATACTATTCTACCACTAGACCATTGGTGCATTTTGTTTTAAGATTATTTTTTATTTTATTTATACTCTTTAATCGTATTTTCGCATGAAAACAACCGACTGATGTCGGCCGGTTTTATTAAAAAATAAAATTACCGACTGAATTAGGTCATATTTTAAAATGACTGACCGAATTAACCGATTGATTTCTGTCAGTTTTTTAATATTAATTTTAATTTATTTTAAATGAAAAATCGGCCAAAGTTGGTCGATTTCTTAAAAAAAATAAAAATTTACGGGACTCAAAAATAGTTTTCTGCATTTTTGCGCCAAAGTAAACCGACCAAAGTTGGTCGGTTTCGTAAAAAAAAATTAAAAATAAAATATTTTGATCGGTCGATTTTTCAGGCTCATTTTTCGACCGACCAAAATCGGTCGATCACGATCGATTTTTGCCGAATTTCTAGTTGTATGTTTGAGTTAGATTGTAAATGGATTCCCTAAAGTATCATATGTGGCAATATACCACAAGAGTTTAATTTTTATATATAGATTATGTGAAGAATCATATTGCTATCAAGCTACTCAAACGTCAACTACAATTACAGGCGACTTCAACATTGTAGTTTTATGTTTTATATGTCTTATATTATGGAGTACGAATAAAACTCGTATTGATGGAACAAGTTACGTATAAGGTGCAGAGGAAACTCTTAGGTATGAGACCTTTAAAAAAAATGCAAATTTGCCTAAGAACTAACAATATCATATCATGTTAACAGTAAGTTGGCACTATAGCACAAAAATAATAAGTTGGCGCGACATCATAACTGTTACGGTCCAAAATCCATTAAAGGTCATGATGGCGCCGGACACCACCGTCATACAAGCCAACACCAAATAATTAGTAAATTCTCATTTTAATATTTCTAAAATCATAAATTTCATTCAATTTAACTGGTAAAAGATGAACTTTACTAGAATAGAAATAACGTTTTCCAATTTCAACACTAAGTATCCTATAATCGTCCCAGAACCTGGTGTCACAAGTGCATGAGCATTTATTAAGGAATAAAATAAAATACAATAACTGTACGGAATATAATTTGGACAGAAAAGAAAATAACAATACTCTGAAGGAGACTTTGCTGGATGCGGATTCTCACAAAAGATGCAGCTCGTCTAAGTCCCTGTGTCAATCATGTCGCTGCTCCCAACTAGGCCACTAGACATACATGTTCCTGTACAACAAAAATGCACAGCAAGTGTAGTATGAGTACGAATTTAATGCGTACCCAGTAAGTATCTAGTCTAACCTCGAAGAAGTAGTAACGAGAGGCCGACTCCGACACTTATTAGTGGTCCAACAATATGATAAAATGAAATTCTAATTAAGCATGATTCATAGAGATAACAGCAAAACTCAGAACAAGAAAATAGTTGAACAATTCTTTCATTAATATTAAAGAACCGCAAAACACTTCCTTCATTTAAAACAAATGATCTCTCAACGATGAATTTATACAAATTATAAAAAGAATTTCCAGTTATATTATCACACATAATTTTCACTGAGGATGTTGGCCCGATCCAACATAAATGTAAACTGTGCATTGCCGAGGGTCGAACGGCACGAACCATAGATGCATTTATTTCCCCGCTCGCGAATCATACATGCGATGCAGGCAAATATAAATTTAAAAAATTAACCCGCTCGCGAATCATACCTGCGGCGCGGTCAAATATGAATTTAACATTTAAGTCATATCTCTTTCTTGATTTTTTTCAAAATAATGGAAATTCATCTTGAAACTTTATGAGTAAATTACTCCGCTCGCGAATCATACTTGCGACACGGTTACCTATAGATTTCTTAAGCTATTATAATATTCCGCAATTCTTTTTGAAATTACGAAGTTCAAATGGAACCTTTTAAATCTTAAATTTCTTCAAATTTCAATTCTTTCAAGAAAATTATTGCTCAACCTAAATTTTGCTTCTTCTCAAGGCAAACAATAAATGCAAATCGACATAATATCAATAAGGCATGGTGTAAACCTAGACTACCCGGACATAGGCATAGCTAGTAGCTACATACGGACTCTCGTCATCTCGTTGTACATAGCCCCCACAATTAGAAGCACATATTAGTTTATTTTACCTATGGGGTTAATTTCCTCTTACAAGGTTAGAAAGGAGACTTACCTCGCTCCGAAGTTCCATAACCGGCTCCAACGTCGCTCTAACACCTCAATCCGATGCCCATCGCTCCAAAAATAGCCAAATAATGCGCAAACCAATAAAAATATACTCTAATACTCATAACAATTCAATTTACAATAATTCCCAACTCCGCTCGGAAATTCGATAAAATCACCCTCGGGCCCACATGCCCGGATTCTGAATATTTTCGAAAAACACTTTACCCATAATCCGATGAACTCAAATATATAATTTATTTCCAATTCCATGCCCAAATTCATGGTCAAAATTCAAAAATACTATGTTTTAGGTCTTCTACCCGAAACCCCACAATTTATACTAATTTTCATGTTCCAATTCATGTATAATTCATGTATTTAACTCACAAAGGGGAAGAAATCACTTACCTAGAATTGCTTGATGACAATCTCCCCTTGAAGCTCTACAAAATCGTCCAAACCAAATGAAAAATGGGAGAAAAATGGGCCAAGTCCCGTTTTTATAAAACCCTTCTGCCCAGCGACATATCCGCTGTCACACCCCATTTTTTAACCAAACTTCACTAACCCCTCTTAAATAAATAAAAGGAATTTATAAAGCTTGAAAAGGGTTTTCAATTAGAAAGTGACAAAATTTTGTGCAAAAGGAAATTACTCAGAGTCGCCACCTGATATTTGATTTCGGTGTGTCAGGTCACCATTTTTTTATAATGATTTTTCCTTTTAAAAACACTTCAGACTAAAACCATGTCTGCACCAGAGATTTGGGTAAGGGGGTTCATTTGACTCGGGGAGAAGGTGTTAGGCACTCCCCAAGTCCCGTAACTAGTACGATTGCATACTTGATCTAATCGGCTTTTAAAATATTCAAGTTGAGATAAAAACAAACACAGAAAAGAGAAAAAAAAATACAAGAGGCTCGAGGTCGTTCCCGCCTAATAAAATAAAAATAAAAATAAAAATACTTCGAGTTCCACTTTAGGCCTCCAAATACAAGTACTTCGGGGCATACCCCAGATAAAATATATACAACTTACGCGGGGCATTCCCTGGATAATAAACTAAAGAAATGACCTCTCGCCTCAAATGGAAATGAAGTAAAGAAAACCTAAGATTTACCTACCCGAATGTGGCTGGCCTAAACATGCTCCTAACGGTTCAATCAATGAAAGCAGATTAACGACATTTAAAACTTAACTTGGACTTACTTACGCTAATCCAAGCTCAAACTACTGTTTGTTTTCTTTTAGTCTTTTTTTTAATAATCTAATCTTCAAAGTCAGTTCACGAGCAGCTTATTTTATATCTTAGTTTAAACCTTGTTTAACATCTAAAAGATATCTATTCGAATTAGACAATTGAATTCAAACCACTCTTTGGATCAACAAAAAATATTTACTCTAGTAACTCAACACCAACAATCAAGTAATATGATAAACACAGAATCACTAAGTTTATACTATCAAAAATCAAGCTTGAGAGGAAGAGAAATAAGGAAACAGGACAAGAATTTAACCTTTAGTCGAGCTTTCAGATTTAAAAAATAAATTCCTCCGAGAATGGACAACAATCTAACTCAACCAAACAGGAACCTTCGACCGGAGGAGACTCGTCGGCAAACTCGAACTCGATCTCGGCTGCATCTCATCGAGTTCCATCAAAGATTTACGTGAGGCAGACAGTGGATGGTTAGAGAATCAGGGATGGTGTGGCGGCTATTTTTTGTGGTAGTGAAGGGTGGTTGCGTGGTTGGTTTGTCGTTGAAGGAGACTGCGGCTGGTTGATTTTTGGGGTAGCAGCAGAAAGGGTGGGATCGTTTGGTCGTTAAGCTGAGGAAAACGAGGAAGGCAGCCATGGGTCTGTAGTCTTGTGTTGTCTTCTTGTTGAAGAAGAAGGTCCGGCGAGTTTGGGTTGGGAGATGACCGGCGGTTGGGGTCTCTAAGGGTGCTAGGGTTCAGCTAGGTTTTTGGGTGGTGTCTTGTTGAAGAAGAAAGCTGCCATGGATTTTTAGTCTTGTGTCCTAGGGTTTTTTTTTTCTAAGGAAGAAGAAGAAGGTCTTTCTGGGGCTAGGTTTAAAGAAGAAGGGGTAATTGGTTCAGTCTTGTTGGGCTTGAAATTGGGCTAAAAGATCAAGAATGGACCTCTCTTACTAAAATTATGATAAATTAAGCCGAAAACTCACTCTTCCTTCTGAAAATGATATAAAATTTACAAAAAATAAAAATATAAAACTAATCCTAATTAATTAAAACAAATAATATTATACCATGAAACTATTTTGGTATTTTTCAAGATTATGTAAAAATAAAATAAGTTCAAAGTAACATATCTTCCTAACGATATCTAATACGTGAATTAAATAGAAAAATATGAAACTATTTTTGTAATTTTCAATTTTTGTTTTTAAAATAAAGTAAAATAGTTAAAATTGGTTGAAATAACTATATTAAGCCTAAATTAGATATTTTACGCTAAAATGGGTGAAATTACGGGGAGGGTCAAAAATTACATGTCTACAGCTGCCCCTCTTTGACTGGAAATACGAAGTATTTTCAGACAAAGAACGACTAGACAGGTTTTTGACCCGACCCTTATTTGGAGAGATCAAAAACTAAGAGAAAGGAAGAGAGTGTGACCGAGCCCTGGTATCTGAGCTGCCTACATATCCTTGGCTATAAAGGAGTCAGGCCACGTGTAGTTCAGAAGTGCGTGCGATGATGGAGTATACCGAGGTGGAGAGCCGATCGAGATACCGTCGAGGTTCCGGTTCGCGGTCCTGTTATTACATCAAAAAACAAAAAATGAAAAAGACTAACTAAGCATGTCAACTATGAGTTACAAAATTCCTATCTATAAGTCTTCTGAAACTTGATCTTGAGTCTTGAATGGTTCTTCATGTAGACTTTAGATCTGAACCATGACACTCGCTAGTTGCAGGTGTTAGTTCGTTCTTCTTCAGCTTTTCTGGATCAAGACCGGAAATAACTTCAACCACGTCTTGAGCCTTGGTCACCTCAGACTGTCAACTCACATTCTTGCCGCGAGCTTCTGCTACTTCTAACTTGAATTGAATTCTGAAATGACTTCCCTCGTTCTCCAGGTGGGTACCTGCTACTGACTTGAAACCTGAAATAATTCTGAAATGAACTCTGAAATGTCTTCCCTCGTTCTCCAGGTGGGTGCCTGCAATTAAAACAACAAAACAAACAAAATCTTCTGCCCCAGTTTGCACTAGGAAGATTTGTGAGTTGTTAGCAAAACTGTAAATCACCTGTGTTATTGATGCAATAATGAGTGTAAAACTAAAGACTCGACTAGGATGTGTGTCTCCTGTGAGTAAAACCAATAAACTTTGACTAGCAAATGCGTTTGCTAATAATTAAGTTTGAATGACCCAAACTAGGAAGTGCGTCTCCTATGGGTGAAACTTGAATGAACCAAAACTAGGAAGTGCGTCTCCTAGGGGTGAAACTTGAATGAACCAAAACTAGGAAGTGCGTCTCCTAGGGGTAAAACTTGAATAACTTAAACTAGAAAGTGCGTCTCCTAGGGGTGAAACTTGAATGAACCAAAACTAGGAAGTGCGTCTCCTAGGAATAAAACTTGAATAACTCAAACTAGGAAGTGCGTCTCCTAGGGGTGAAACTTCAATGACTCGAACTAGGAAGTGTGTCTCCTTGGGGTAAAACATCAATTTAGGAAGTGCGTCTCCTAAAACAAAAATATAACCTGAAAGACCCAGACTAGGAAGTGCATCTCCTAGGGGCGAAACTTCAATGACTCAAGCTAGGAAGTGCGTCTCCTAGGAATAAACTTAAACGGCCCCAAACTAGGAAGTGCGTCTCCTAGGGAAACATTCTCAACTTAAGAAGTGTGTCTCCTAAAACAAAATATAACCTGACAGACCCAGACTAGGATTTGCGTCTCCTAGGGGTGAAACTTCAATGACTAAAACTAGGAAGTGTGTCTCCTAGGAATGAATTTAAATGACCAAAGCTAGGAAGTGCGTCTCCTAACAAGTATAATCTAAAAGACCCCTACTAGGAAGTGCGTCTCCTAATGGGTAAAACTTCAATGACTAAAACTAGGAAGTATGTCTCCTATGAATGAATGTAAATGACTAAAGCTAGGAAGTGCGTCTCCTAAGAATGAATTTAAATGACCAACATTAGGAAGTGCGTCTCCTACAGATAAAAATATAACCTGAAATACCCAGACTAGGAAGTGCATCTCCTGGGGGTAAAACTTTAATGACTAAAACTAGGAAGTGCGTCTCCTATGAATGAATTTAAATGACCAAAGCTAGGAAGTGAGTCTCCTAACAAGTATAATCTGAAAGACCCCTACTAGAAAGTGCGTCTCATAATGGGTAAAACTTCAATGACTAAAACTAGGAAGTGTGTCTCATATGAATGAATGTAAATGACCAAAGTTAGGAAGTGCATCTCCTAGGAATGAATTTAAATGACCAACATTAGGAAGTGCGTCTCCTAAAAATAAAAATATAACCTGAAATACCCAGACTAGGAAGTGCATCTCCTGGGGGTAAAACTTCAATGACTAAAACTAGGAAGTGCGTCTCCTAGGAATAAATTTAAATGACCAAAACTAGGAAGTGTGTCTCCTAACAAGTATAATCTGAAAGACCCCTACTAGGAAGTGCGTCTCCTAATGGGTAAAACTTCAATGACTAAAACTAGGAAGTGTTTCTCTTAGGGGTGATGTGTGATCTTCTCAATAGCCTTTGCATAAGCATAATTGGGGCATTAGACTTGAAAAATTCAAGTTTTGTTATGAATATAGCCTTCATCCCTGTTTCAGACAAAGAAAACTTGTGAGTTTAAAACACGGTGGTTAGTTTGTGGCCTTGAACTTGAAGACGGCTGCTTCTGCACTTGCCAAGATAACTTTAATTTCAACTTAGAGGACCTTGCCTGTTATCGACTACCCATTTTCTTTCAACCTTTATCATAGAAAACACCTCCACTCCATTCGATCCCAATATCCTCTATCTGTTGTATTTTGTTCATGAATTGACATTTATTGAATCTTTGCATTTCACATAAATCCCAAAGCATGTTAATTGTTATCAACTCCGTGCGCATACTGTTCTTTCCTGAATTATGCCATTTAGATGTGCTAGCCAGACTCTACTTTGTGCAATTAGAAAGCTGGTAGCAAATTTCGAAGTCATTTCTCACTTGTTCTGACCAAACAGACTGAAGAAGGGACTCAAATAAAACAAGAGGAACAAAATAAGGGACAAGGGAAAGAGATGATACCTAACAAGAAAATTACAAAGTAGAAACTTATAAGATGTGGATACCAACTCTAATGACCATGACGTGCACCTTTGGATTAAGTGGCCTAATCTCTCAAGCAAGTCTAATATTCAACTCTTGTTGTACCTCTTCGCTGTGAAACTGGGCTTCAGCGATTCAATTGTCTCATCTGATCCACAATCCTTAGTCAACTTGTAGTGCCCTAAAAGGTTTTCACCATCAAGTCTCTCTCATTTTGCTCTTTTTCTCAACTCACCGTCGCCTTACGGTGCCCATGAGGGTTTTCACCGATAAGACTCTCTCATTTTATCATTTCTCTCTTTGTGTTGAGAACAAAGTATTACCCATGATACAAGAAGATTATACTTTGACCACGTACTTGATTTGACATCCTCAAAGATTGGTCGGAAGGTCTTTCTTTGGACCGTAATTTAGGCTTTTGGACAAGGCTAGAAAAAAAGGGTGGCATGAAGGCTCAAAATAATTTAAGATGAAAACGGTTCAAAATTTTATCTTTTGGAATAAGATCTTTTGCAAAACCAAAACTTCTGCCCCAGTTTTTTGGAGCTTGGGGATTTTTTGGATTTTTTTTCTTGATGGGATTTCTAAGAAAATTTGCCCCACTCTTGACTTCGGGGAATTATGAAATATTTTATTCGGTGTGACTGAACCGTAAGGCTGCCTACGTATCTTGTGGTGACAAGAATCAGGTCGAAAGTAGTTCAAAGAACAAAGTTATTTTTTTTCTTTTCCTTTTCTCTTTTGTTTTTCCTTTTTACTTTTTTAATTTTCTCTTTTTTTTTTTGTTTTTTTCCTTTTCTCTTTTCCTTTTTTTCTTTTCTTTCTCTTTTTCCTTTCCTTTTCTAGTTCCTGACTCTATTTCTGATTCCAAAATAGGGGTATGAAACAAAATATTAGGGCTCAAAATGGGTAGCAAAGGATAAAAGTGTTTGGGTAGCAGAATAAAATGCCTTCATCATACCAAACTTTAAAAATTCCAAGTACAAACATGCAATTGAAGATAAGCAAAGAAATCCAAACAAAAGCGCCAATGGGTAATACCTCTGTACCAATGAATGATCCTTGCCATTTCGAAGCAGACTTGATTCAAACTTATCTTGATGTAGAAGAATGCATTTCAACACTGATTGATCTGCCTCAAACTGCTTGAGAGACATTCCTTTGTTGTATGCTCTCATCAACCTCTTGATTTCCAAACTAACTGCCTCAGTTTCACTCAATTCAAGCTTCAGATTTCTCAGAATGCGTGAATCTTTAATTGTTTCCTCAAACGCATCCTTTTATCATATTCAAAACTATGCCATTGCTTCATGATTAGACTAACTTTCAAGATAAGGGTGAGAATTATGCGTGCATGTCATGTCACTAGAGTAGGCATGAAAAGGACTATAAAAGGAAAAATGACTTAAACAAAAACTGACTAGAATTAACAGAAAATGGGAGATTGCATTAGACAGATGATGAAAAGGGTTTGAACAAGACAAGCAAAATAGACATGGGTTACAATCCTGGAACAATCCTAAATAACACTAGACGAGTTACTACAACTAAACGAACTAGACAAAATGAGAAGAAGAAGAAGAGGAGTTTGAGCCACAAGACAATATCCGGATTACAACTCTGAAATAACCCGGACAAACAGAAATGACAACAAAATAAACCACCAAAACTCCTCCCTGGCTAGCCAAGAAAGGAGTGTCTTTCCAATTACCAAGCTCGACATCTTAGCCACTAGGTTGCACATCAAAATTATTGGGACCTTCACCGATTTCAATATTATTAACTTCAGTCAACAAGTTCCCAAGAGGATTCTCATACTCCCTGTCACCACGCATCTTCCCCACAAAGTGTGCATCATCATGTGCAGGTAAAGGATTTTGCGCGATATTCTGGGTGTCACTGTCCTGGACCATAATTATCCCTTCTTGAATCATTCCTTCTATCTCCCTTTTCAAAGCACAACAATCTTCAATGTTATGCCCTTGGATATTAGAGTGGTACATTCACCGTACAGTAGGATCAAAACCTTTTGCATATGGGTCCGGAGTATAGCCAAGGAGCGGCTCAATCAGGCCAGACTATTTTAACTTTTCAAACAAGCTTGTGTAGGATTCTCCGATTGGCGTAAAACTATTTCTTTGCCTTTGTTCCCCTCTATTCCCCTGTTTCCTAGAGTTGTTGGGTGCTCGACAATATTGTGAAGGCGAAACAGTATTATGCGATGTTGGTGCTCGCCATAAGGAGTGACCTAGTGGTTGAACAAATGACTGGACGTTGTTCGGAGGATAGTACTGATGTGGATTATGTGGAGCTCGGGAATAGGTTTGGGGTTGGGGTCGGGGTCGAGGCTGAGTATATTGGTGAGGTGGACCCGTTGGACTATGTCGCGATCCTGATACAGCCATGGCAACATCATTATGTTTCTTCTGAATTGCATGTGTTGTGGCTTTTAAGGTAGAATAGCTCATGATCTTGCTTGACTTCAGTCCCTCTTCCACCATTTCTCCCATCTTTACCACATCATTGAAAGGCTTACCAATGGCTGAGATTAAATGGTCGAAGTAAGTAGGCTCCAGGGCTTGAAGAAAGTATTCAATCATCTCATCTTCTTCCATCGAAGGATTGACCCGTGCAGCTTGCTCCCTCCATCGGAAACCATATTCTCTAAAGCTTTCACTAGGATTCTTTTCTACCTTGGTCAGGGACAGGCGATTCGGGACAATGTCTATGTTGTACTGAAAATGCCGAGCAAAGGCTTGAGCCAAATCGTCCCATGTGTACCACCTGCTGGCATCCTGGTGGCTGTACCATTCTAGAGCTGCCCCACTCAGACTCTGGCTGAAGTACGCCATCATTAATTCGTCTTTTCCTCCGGCGCCTCTCATTTTACTGCAGTAACCTCTCAGATGAGCTACAGGATCCCCATGGCCGTCATACAAGTCAAACTTGGGCATCTTGAACCCCGCAGGCAGTTGGATATCGGGGAACAAGCACAAATCCTTATAGGCCACACTCACCTGGTTTCCCAACCCTTGCATATTTCTCAATGATTGCTTCAGACTTTGTACCTTCCTAAACATCTCTTCTTGCTCTGCATTCTTAGGTGGTTTGTCAGTTTCAACATGAGGCTCGAATTGGGGAGTGTAAGAGTAAGGATCCTGGACTTTGAAAGTGGGTTTCGGGGCATAGTATTGGGTATTTGGAGCTGGAAATGCGGTTGTTTTGGCTGGTGGAGCATGGAAAGTTTGGGAGGAAGTTCTAGGGTAATTATGGTAAGGGGTGAAGCCTGGGGCGTGTTGAGGGGAAAGAGCAACAGTAGTGGGAACCTGGGCTTGTGTTAGTGGTGGGATAGTTGCAGGGTTTTCAGTGTACTTAGTGGGGAAGGAAGGTGGAGGATGCCCCCTGATCCAAGATTGATACATTTCTGTCATCTGCTGTTTCAACCTTCGGACCTCCTCTTTCAGTTCCGATTCTGATTCTACAATCTCCCTTGGTGGGTGTACAACCCCAGTGTCTGTTTCTTTGCTAGTCATGACTGCCTTGTGCTTTCTAGTGTTGTATGGACGAATTGCCAAAGTGCCACAAACTAACCACTCTCTATTATAATAACAATGAAAGTAACAAAGAGGAGCAAAACGAAGCCAACATGTTAGCGTTAGGACATTTATCAGATTAAAATATCACATTGCGTGCAATTCCCCTAGTCATAGTTAACGGTTCTAGAATGGCTTCGGGGTACGAAGGTCATACGGCATCATCCCAGTTTCACTTTTCTTGCCCCATTTCCTTCTTCATTTTCCTTTCTAACACCACTTGGTTTTTCATTTCTTTCCCCCTCTTTTCTTTCCTCTCACTTATCACGTCCCACAACTTCATTCTCTTTTTATTCTTTTTGTTTTCTTCTTCTTCTTTTTTGTTTTTTTAATGATGATTCGTTCGAACCCTATGTAGGTTGCCTACATATCATGTCCCTCATGAATCAGATCAAGCGTAGTTCTGGGAAAGTAATGGACAAAATAAATTAAGAAACAAAAATCTTTTTGAATTTTTCATTTATATTTTTTGGTCTTTCAAATACAAAACAGAAAGTACAATAATGAAAGACTCGACAAACTCTTAAACCACCTAAGAGACTTAAAACAGGCTCAAAATATAAAAAGTCTCATCAAGTAACTCCTGGACGCAATTGTCCTGGGGTATCTGTCATGCTCGAGTCCTGGTACGTAGATCCACACCTGAATAAGAAAAATAGGACCAAATAGATTAGCGACTCAAGACACTATGTGAGACCACACCTCCTATTGGACACATGCAAGACAACTATTTTTGAAAATTAACCTGCATGGCCAAGAGTGGCAATTAATGCAAACTCAACAAGATTGACCTCATGGACATGGAAAATACCTCACTAAGGCTTTTATGGATTCAAACTCCCAATATCATGGCCCAAATTTAATTTGCGAAAATGCCTCATTTTGCAAAAATGACCGATATGGCCAGAAGTGGCTAAAATGCAAACTCAGAAGGACGGGCCTTAAGGTAGTGGGACACTTAGTTTCGAACTCAGGATTTTGAGACATGGGTCAATGAACCACTTTTGCGAAAATGACCCCATTTTACAAGAATGGCCGATGTGGCCAAAAATGGCTAAACATGCAAGATATGGCTAAGACCCCGCAAAGCCAAGAACCTAAGACTTGCTAGGAAGACCGGACCCTATGTGGGTTGCCTACGTATCATGTCTCGAAAGACGAGAATCAGGTTCGCGTAGTTCGGGAAGATTGGTCATGGGAGAAAGACTTTAAAAAAATGCAACTAATTTGGAAAAACCATATTTTTTGTCTTTTTGAGAAATGATGGAAAATGTAAACTCTTTTTAGATTTTCTTTTCTCTTTGTTTTTGAATTTTTGGTAAATGATGAAAAATGCAAAATCTTTTTGGATTTTCTTTTTCTCTTTTTTTTTTGAATTTTTGGAAAATAATGGAAAAGTGTAAAATCTTTTTTGGATTTTTCATTTTCATTTTTTTTTGGAAAAAGTAGTGAAAGAAAAATATAACTAGGCCCTACTTGCTTCGTCTTTCACCCTTATTTCCCAAGCATCAGTCCTCCAAATGACCTTTTTACCCTCAAAGGTGCAACATGTATCACATAGGGATGATTGAATGTCTTTTTGGGCCACGGGCCCATTTTGACAAAATTTGGATAGGCTTCCTACAAAGGGACACGGTACCTGGGACCAAGCCCTGTTAGGTCTAAATGATATGATGCAAATAAAAATAACCTAAAGGTTGACCTACGTTTGGGGTTCACTAACAAGGCAATTCAGGGGAGCGTAAGGTCGATGGTGGTTGCTCAAGCTTTCCACCCACTCCATACGTCCGACGGCCCCCCTCCTAAATTAAGGGTGACTTAACAAAGAGTTCGTGCACGCGAAGCGTACTCCGAGACTTGTTGCGGAAAGAAGACCCATGGTTATGCAAATGATGACAGTTTATAAAACAGTAACACATTAAGAAAAGCGATAAACAAATAACCAACAAAACAAGGAAATAAGACAAACAAAGCAAATAAAGAAAACAAATACCTTAACCGAATATCCTAAAAGCCAACAAGATCAAATATCAGCTCGAACCTGCAAGTCCCCAGCAGAGTCGACAAAGATGTCACACCCCCTTTTTTAACCAAACTTTACTAACCCCTCTTAAATAAATAAAAGGAATTTATAAAGCTTGAAAAGGGTTTTCAATTAGAAAGTGACAAAATTTTGTGCAAAAGAAAATTACTCAGAGTCTCCACCTGACATTTGATTTCGGTGTGTCAGGTCACCGTTTTTTTAAAATGATTTTTCCTTTTAAAAACACTTCAGACTAAAACCAAGTCTGCACCAGAGATTTGGGTAAGGGGGTTCATTTGACTCGGGTAGAAGGTGTTAGGCACTCCCCAAGCCCCGTAACTAGTACGGTTGCATACTTGATCTAATCGGCTTTTAAAATATTCAAGTTGAGATAAAAACAAACACAGAAAAGAGAAAAAAAACAAACACACAAGAGGCTCGAGGTCGTTCCCGCCTAATAAATTAAAAATAAAAATAAAAATACTTCGAGTTCCACTTTAGGCCTCCAAATACACGTACTTCGGGGCATACCCCGGATAAAATATATACAACTTATGCGGGGCATTCCCCGGATAATAAACTAAAGAAACGACCTCTCACCTCAAATGGAAATGAAGTAAAGAAAACCTAAGATCTACCTACCCGAATGTGGCCAGCTTAAACATGCTCCTAACGGTTCAATCAATGAAAGCAGATTAATGACATTTAAAACTTAACTTGGACTTACTTACGCTAATCCAAGCTCAAACTACTGTTTGTTTTCTTTTAGTCTTTTTTTTAATAATCTAATCTTCAAAGTCAGTTCACGAGCAGCTTATTTTATATCTTAGCTTAAACCTTGTTTAACATCTAAAAGATATCTATTCGAATTAGACAATTGAATTCAAACCACTCTTTGGATCAATAGAAAACATTTACTCTAGTAACTCAACACCAACAATCAAGTAATATGATAAACACAGAATCACTAAGTTTATACTATCAAAAATCAAGCTTGAGAGGAAGAGAAATAAGGAAACAGGACAAGAATTTAACCTTTAATCGAGCTTTCATATTTAAAAAATAAATTCCTCCGAGAATGGACAACAATCTAACTCAACCAAACAGGAACCTTTGACCGGAGGAGACTCGTCAGCAAACTCGAACTCGATCTTGGCCGCATCTCATCGAGTTCCATCAAAGTACGTGAGGCTGGAAATGGCTGGTTAGAGAATAAGGGATGGTGCGGCAGCTGTTTTTTATGGCGGTGAAGGGTGGTTGCGTGGCTGGTTTGTCGTTGAAGGAGACTGCGGCTGGTTGATTTTTGGGGTAGCGGCAGAAGGGTGTGAGGGTGGGATCGTTTGGCCGTTAAGCTGAGGAAGACGAGGAAGGCAGCCATGGGTCTATAGTCTTGTGTTGTCTTCTTGTTGAAAAAGAAGGTCCGGCGAGTTTGGGTTGGGAGATGGCCGGCGGCTGGGGTCTCTAAGGGTGCTTGGGTTCAGCTAGGTTTTTGGGTGGTGTCTTGTTGAAGAAGAAAGCTGCCATGGATTTTTAGTCTTGTGTCCTAGGTTTTTTTTTCTTTTCTAAGGAAGAAGAATAAGGTCTTTCTAGGGCTAGGTTTAAAGAAGAAGGGGTAATGGGTTCAGTCTTGTTTGGCTTGAAATTGGGCTAAAAGATCAAGAATGGACCTCTCTTACTAAAAATGTGATAAACTAAGCCGAAAACTCACTCTTCCTTCTGAAAATAATATAAAATTTACAAAAAATAAAAATATAAAACTAATCCTAATTAATTAAAACAAATAATATTATACCATGAAACTATTTTGGTATTTTTCAAGATTATGTAAAAATAAAATAGGTTCAAAGTAACATATCTTCCTAACGATATCTAATACGTGAATTAAATAGAGAAATATGAAACTATTTTTGTAATTTTCAATTTTTGTTTTTAAAATAAAGTAAAAGAGTCAAAATTGGTTGATATAACTATATTAAGCCTAAATTAGATATTTTTACGCTAAAATGGGTAAAATTTTGGGTAGGGTAAAAAATTACATGTCTACATCCGTACCTACGGAATAGTAGCCGCACATGCGGCTTCGCAGGTGCGAGGCTCCCTTCGCTTCTGCGGTTTCCTTCCACTTCTGCGGTCAACTCCTTCGCTTCTGCGCTTGTGCAGATGCGGTCCTTCCCCTGACTGCCCAGCCCCGCATTTGCGACTCCAAGGCAGCTTCTGCGGCTCTACACCTGCGGCCAAAACCTCGCAGGTGCGGTTGCACTAGATATCAGCTGCCTAAATTCTTCTTGAAATTCCAAATTCGATCTTTTCGGAATTCACTTGAGGCTCCCGGGACCCCGTCCAGTCACACCAACCAGTTCCAAAACATGACACAGACCTGCTCGAGGCCTCAAATCACATCAAACAACATCGAATTCATGAATCACACCCCATTCCAAGCTTAATGAATTTTAGAATTTCAAACTTCTTCATTCGATGACGCATCCTGTTAAATCACGTCCGATTGACCTCAAAATTTGCACACATGTCGTATTTGACATTACGGACCTACTCCAACTTCCGGAATCAGAATCCGACCCCTATATCAAAAAGTCCACTTCTGGTCAAACTTCTTAAAAATCTTCAAATTTCTAACTTCAGCCAAATGACTCCAAAATGACCTACGGACCTCCGAATCCACTTCCGGACGCGCTCCCAATACCAGAATTTCCATACAAAGCTATTCCTAAACTCGGAATCCCAGACGGACATCGATAACACTGAAATTCACTGCAATCCATATTTATGAAATTCTTCCCAAAATGCTAACTTCACCAGCTATACAAGCTTGTTCACTCCTCATGGACATCAACTAAATGTGCGACAATACATTCCCATCCAAGTCATGTTATATCCTTCTTCATATCCAGCAAACTCTTTTCTGTCGTATCCAAATCTCCCGTTATATGATAGCCAATGTTCCAAATTAAGTCTGCATACCTAGTCACTATCCACCATAAATCCCAAATCGCTCTAAATTTTTCTCAAGGCGTGTAGCTATCCTATCACGGAACCCACATGTTACTCTGTCACTCTCCCACTTTGGTCAAACCCTCTCCTTTAAGCAACTACTCGACTTCTTCTTCTTCTTCCACCTGGACTTCTAGAGATTTAGCCACCGCAAGACACCTCCCACATGTCCTTCCTCATCCTTCACCGCCAACTGTTGCCTCAAATAAAAAATCTATCTCTGTAGTACTTGAACCAATAGATTGCTACTAACTTTAAACCTTTCCAAGAATCATCCTTCTCGAGACATCAACACCAGGAACACCGATACAATCCTGAACCTCCGCACGCCACAATCTCTGATAGCTGCTTCTTCGGCACTATTTCACACTACTCAGCCCCAAAGGTGAATTGAAGAAAACCATAACATCGGCGAACTTAACGTATTCAATAAGGACAATAACAGCACATCACTGTCACACCTCCTTTTTACTACACCCCTGTAAAGGGGTATATAAGGGAGTTTTTTCCAATTTAAGTGACAATCGAAACGGGATTATTTATTAAAAATCAGAGTCGCCACTTGGGATAATTCATGGTGTCCCAAGTCACCGGTTCAAATCCCGAATCAAGGAAAAGATTGACTCTATTTTACAGTCCGCAAACCAGAAATCCGGGTAAGGAATTCCGTTAATCCGGGAGAAGGTGTTAGGCATTCCCGAGTTCCATGGTTCTAGCACGGCCGCTCAACTGTTATTATTGGCCTATTTATCTGATTTTAAAAAAACTTTGAACCTATGTGCATTTTAACTTTAAACCGCTTTTAATTATTTTAAAGAAGATTTCAACGTCGTCTAAAACATGTCTTTGGACCGTGCCACATGAAATGCACCCGCAATCCGAAACATATTTTATTCAACGTTGTTGAGATTTGGATTTGGGTCACATGAAATGCACACCCGAGTTTAGGAAGGTAATTTTAAGATTACGCGCCTAAAGCAACTACGCATTTTTTAACTTTGCGAGGGCCATGAAAAATTTGCTAAATGGCACACCTCGAATTCTAAGGATTTAAAAGAAATAATTAAATGAGGGCCACACATTTTGAGATTTTATTTGGCACGGCTCGCCCCAATCCCAACTTTTAACAAGAATTCAAACTAAACCTTGAGGGCCATAAGCTACTTGTGTTACTTAATATAGCACACCTCCAATTTACTTTTAAAAACCCAATTAATTAACTAAATAAATGCTTGATGTAATTCTAATATTTCTCTTTTACTAAAGGCGAACTTGCTTATCAGCTAATGGGCCTTATATTGAATGGCCAACTATTAAAGAAGGGTTGTTTCAACAACAACAATTAAACAAGGACTGGGTCCGATGAAACAGACCAAAATGGTGTAAAGTACACAGTCTCTTTGTTAGGCTCTTCAGGCTTGGGCCCAAGATGAACCCAAGATTTAGTGAACTGACAAACACCAAGTGACATGGAGATATGCATATTGAATCAAGAGGTTAAACATTCATTAGCTGGGACGGCATAAGGTCCAACACTTAAAGCCAAACAATCTGCAGAATCAAGTAAACGCTAACCGACTAACGCTATGTGAAACATAAAATGAACTATGCTTTGTCACTTTTGAGTTTAAATTAATTTAGCACAAATCAAACTAATTGAGCTTCTAACTCTATTTTTTACACATTCTGGTACAAGCTTGCTATATGAAAAGCCCAACAGTAACACCTTGAATTATCGGGCTCAAGAGATGAGCCCAAATTGAAAACGGACAATCCTCAGCAAACATTGGGATCCCAGTTCGAGTCCACACAACGTAAAATGTCGAGTATTTTGCATTCGAATTTACAGATCATGTTGCTTTAAGAAAATCAAACAATTACTAATGGGAACACACCTATCGTCACTTTTATGCAGATGCTACAATCCAAAAATCAATTCATTTTGTTATCTATCATCTAATACTATCACAATTCTTACCAACATGTTCCATAATCTCAGAAAATAACAGACATTCACTAATTTAGATTCCAAAGGGAAGCTATATATCATAGCCTAAAATCAAAAAGTTATTCAAAATAACATACTGATTTCAGTTAAGCTATCATATGGCTTGAGTTTTGCATATAAGTACCCAAAAGTCCCTCTTATACATAACAACAAGCTCAAATTCATGAAGTCTAAACAGATAAACCATAATCTGTCCCATATTATAAACCAAGACTAAACTAAAACCAAGACTAAAAGACAACCAACAGGAATTGACTGATCACAGATTTCAGTTACGTCCTATTCACTGAAAAATTTACATAGTCAGATTCTTTCTAAAAACAACTGAGCAGTATAAGCTATGCAAGAAATTGAAAGAGAGCTAGAACTTCAATAACAAACAACATCATGTTTAATCACATTTTCTATATCCAAACTTCGAATTACATTCAATTGAACCCCATAGTGCTAGAAAAATACCTGAAAATGAAAGGACACAAGAGGTGAGGGATCAGCAATAGCAGTAGCAGAAGTTAGCCCCAGATTCAAACAATCAAATAGTGAAATTGACTCAGAAAGACCAGTAGAACAGCAAACCAAACAACAGACTTAAACCAGCTCTTTTCAATGCCCAAGTTCAATCCATTTCTAACCCGGATAAATCAGAAATTGCTTCAGACACTCAAAACCTTAAGAATTGCAGAAGGAAATTCAATGGAACATTCTTTTTATGAAATTTCCATCCGTTATTGGTTTTTATCCCAGTATCCTCCCCCTCAATTCTTTTTGGAAAGTTAGACTTTATAGAGGGGTTTTTAGGGCATCAATAGAGGTTTCAGACCTTTCTTTTTAATCCTTGCTCAATTTTTGTTTTTGCTTAAAGAACCTCAGTTCAACACTCCAAATTCATTTTAGTCCCTGGGTTAGCTTCTAAGCAGCTTCCCCTTTTTGTTACAGAAATATTCCCCACCTGGCTTCCCTAAACTACCCCATTGAACCCCTATTATTACCCTTTAAGGCCAGGTAAACCCCCATCCGGGCCTTTGATTCTTTAGAACCCAATTAAAATCAAACAAGGATTCACCATTTTAAAGACTGACCTAAAACTACCCAAAAGAAAATTATGAAAACCTTAAACCAAAGCCGAAAACCGAAAGAAAAATGAAACTGAGTTAACTAATTTTAAAATAACAACAAAATAACTATGCTAATAATCAAACAAGTCATACATGGACAACATTGACAAACAACATATAATGAGGAAACAGAAACACAAACACAGAAGAGAGATGAAGAAAGATGACTTAAAAAGAAAAATACAAGAAAAGAAATAAAAACAAAAAACGTGAAAAATACCTAAACGGGCTGGCCAAGCCTTGAAGTTCTTCCTCAATCTCTCGATTTTGACCGAAAGGGGTCTCAATCATGTGTTCTCAGATGAAAACACATGACCAAGGTCCATTTTGGTCTTAATCGTCACCAAATTTGCCGATTTTAGAGTTTGACATTTTAGGTCTCATCTTCGACTTAAGATTCGACGAGTTCAGGGAATATTCGAGGGAAAAGAGCCGTGGATTTGGGAAGAGGGGAGTGAGGGGGTTCTGTGGTGTTACTTTGGTGGTGTTTGGAACCGGCGCCG